TTCTCTCCAGCTGACGGAACTGGTGATTAGCAGCAGCACATGAACACTTCCATTTTCATCTTTAAATACACCAATACTGCCCGCAATAAAAACCACTAAGTACCGTCGTGCCAGAGTATAAGTCACACCAGCCAGCTAGAGTGCCCTCTAGTGGCTGTCAGTGTGAAAATAACGAAATTATATATTTTAATATATATCGCACCTGAGTATAAGTCGCAAACCCAGGCAAAGGATGAAAAAAAGTATGATTTATAGTCCGGAAAATACTGTACATCATTAGAGATGATGTCACTCTGTCACCTTGTTGTTGAGGATCTCGATCTTATCCAGGTCCAGCTGATGTTGTCGGTTGTAGGCCTCCATGGTAGCGCAGGAGCACTCCATCTCCCTGTTGAGGACGCAGACAATGTTCTCAAACATGCTGACTTTCAGCTCCACCACCTTGGTCTTCTCACTCTGGAGTTGCAGCTCCAGTGCAGCGGCCAAAGCTGTGGGAAACGGAATGAAGGAGGTGGTCATGGTTGGAGCACAGGCAGCTTGAACCAGAGCTGCACTGCTGCCACCAACAGCTCCAGTATTCACACTTCCTTCCAGGTAGCTCATCTCGAGCAGGTTGAGGTGTTCATAGGAACACTGACGCTCATGGTCATTGATCTTTTCCTTCTCCACCTTTCATGGAGAAAAACAAAAGTTTGGGGTTTTTTAAGTGTAGTTTTATAGTGTATATAGTGTGTTCGTGATAAACAAAATGTGCAAACGTCCTTAAAGTTTCTCAAAGGTAAATGTTTACTTACAGACAAATCACAGCCAAAAACATGGAACCTGCAAGGAAATTTAAATTTACTGCAGAACTTAATGTGGTCCACGTACTGTAGAGAACAAATGATAGAAAGGAGAAGAATTAACAATCTGTAGATCACAGAGACGTGGTTTATGACGTTCAGGAAACAGTGGTGCTTCAGTGAATACCTTTTCTCTAGGAATCTTTTTCTTCGCACAGCCTTCACAGATCATGGGATACTTGGGACAGATTTCATCATGAGCCTGGAAAAAAAGGACAGATCACGAGAACTAAACAGAGCTCTGCCCTGTGAAGGTAAAGAAACCAGTAAACATGTACAGTATCTGATGACCCAATCATCTAGAACACCACTTCTTGGTTTTCACCTATGGCAGTGGTTTTCAACCTTGGGGTCGCCTGAAATTCAAAGGAGGTAGTCGGAACTGTCTTGTAATTGATTAAAAAGAAATATTGATAAATAACACTTTTTATTCTTTTTAGAATTATGATTAAAAGCACCACACAATCTTAAACAACTGCATTCTTACACATTCATTAATGTGAATTGAGTGACCGCTACTAAAATGTCTCAAGGGGTCGCCAGAAATTTGTGATATCAAAATGAGGTGAGAAGCCAAGAAAAGTTGTGAACCACTAATCTGTAGACACATGAACCCAGACAGGGTTAAAAAACAAACCTACTTCCTGATTCTTTTGTCGATTGCGCCTTGACAGAAGTACTGTCTCACCTTAATGTTTTTGAGCCTATTATTAATACATATAATGTTTATACAATTCAAATTTCCACTGATTCAGGCACATTAAAAGTCAAATATATAACAATGTAAATGTAGCTTTAGCATTCACCTCAAATTCTTTGATGGTTTCTATCCATGTGCAGCCCTGATTTGGACAGACAGCAGCCAACGCTTCCACCTCTCTGCGAGCTGCATTGTCTGGGAACGCCTAACACAAAGCAGAAACACCAGTCAGTATAATCACACACATATACTTAAACATGCACCATGCTAAGTTACCCAGGGAGTTTTACTGCAGGGACACAACCAAGACCCAGTTCTGCTCCTGGCTGCTGAAGTTCTTCCTAAAACTAAAATATTTTCCTATTTGTCTTTATAACATTTGTTTCCATCCACTCCTTGTTTCCTCCCTTGTATTTCTATTCCTTCTCCAAGCACAGCCAACATGTATATGGTCAAAGAGTTCTTGTTCAGACTCATCAGACCATATTATCTTCTTCCTGTCATCTCCATTTACAATGGTCAGATTGGACTCGATTGGTTATTTAGACATATCTTACTGTCTTTCTAGAGACTAGAATACATACACACACACACACATATATACATACTTACACCCCCTTGCTTAAGAATAGATGCTGGCTCCTCAAACAAGTCTTCTTTGATGCAAGCATTGCAATTCTGTGGTCCAGAACTTATAAGGAGAGAAAACAAACGTTGATGTAAACAAAGAGAGCTGGTGTTGCTTAGAGAAACTTAGAGATGGCAATAAAGGGTTTTTTTTTGTTTGTTTGTTTTTATTGTAAAACTTTTGGCTCCCACAGTGGAAGATTGGCAAGTGGCCTTGCCCTACGGCAGGAAGGTCACTGATTCGCACCCAAGTAGTTAATGTATGGAGTTGACGTTTCCCCATTTTTTTTATTTTTATTTTTATTTTTTTTTTTACACAGCCCAAAAACATGCCAGACTAGGTTAACTGGATACTGTTAATACACCATGGGTCTGGAGGGGGGCTGTTGTACAGTCCATGTACGGATTTATCCTGTGGTGAACTGGAGAACTTTGTGAATATTTTCCACACGATCGTAACTTAAGTTGTTTCAGCTGGAATGTTAATGATTACTTTATGATCGTTAAATCTACAGTTTTATAGAAGACAATCACACTTTTTTATTATTTAAAGTTTTTTGGATTTGAGAATGTATTCAATAGTGATATCACGCCGTGTTGTTTGCAACAGTGAAAACGAATAACTTATTTTTAATAATGTCCTTTAAGAATAATCAATTTACAGATTACAATTTATAAATGCTCTTTAGATAAAGTGCACGACGAAAAATCCTGTAAATGGTTGCAATAAAAATAGCAGCCGAAGTTATTTCATGGGTGACGTGTGTTGTATTTATTAGCGGAACTGTCGTTGACATGGAACATGAGTGATGAGGGTCAGTAAAGATTCTTAGCTGCAGCTCTAGCGGTTCACCATGACAGCACTTACCTCACTATTTTGTTAAAGCAGAAGCTGCAGAAGCGATGACCGCACTGCGCTTGCAGCGGCCTCCTTAGAATCTTCTGGCACGAATTGCATAAATGCTTGTCTTCTTCTTTTCTTTGGAAATCCCGGCTTGTTACCTTCCAGAGACGGTGGTGGAGAAGGTTCCTGTGCAGCCATGATTACCCCCTCGAGGGCTAAAGAGTGGGCGCGATCACTGAGCAGTGTGGGATTGTTTTATAAAAAAATAAATGATAAATCCAGACAATGATTAATGCTGCTGATGCTGTTCAGTATATTTCTATTTCCTGCTAATGTTCATTTGTGAAATAGAGAAGCAACTTGCGTTCAT